GCTGATGATGATGATGATGGTGGTGGTGGTGGTGATGGGCAGCCTTGGCAGCAGGGAGCAGCAGGGCGCCCGCTGCCGTCACCGTCACCGTCACCGCGGGTGGTGCTGTCACCATGGGGGTTGGTGGTGTCCCCACGCGTGTTGGTGTCACCACGGGTGTTGGTGTCACCATGGTTGGGGTCCCCATGGTTGATGGTGTCCCCATGGGGGTTGTTGGTGTCCCCATGGGTGGTGTTGGTGTCACCATGGCTGTTGGTGTCACCATGGCTGTTGGTGTCCCCATGGGTGGTGTTGGTGTCACCATGGCTGTTGGTGTCACCATGGCTGTTGGTGTCACCATGGTTGGTGTCACCTTGGTCGTTGGTGTCCCCATGGGGGTTGTTGGTGTCCCCATGGGTGTCGGTGTCACTATGGCTGTTGCTGGTGTCCCCATGGCTGTGGGCGTCACCGCGCGGTGCCGCTGCACCCGGAGGCCCCAGCGCCGCGCGGTCCCCGCGGCCTTGGCGCGGCAGCGGTGCCGCGGCGCCAGCGCCGTCAGTGACAGCGACGATGCCAATGACGACGTCAACGACGACGTCAACGACGATGCCGTTGATGATGTCAATGATGGTGGCATTGACGATGAAGTCAATGATGGTGCCAACGATGATGTCAACGGTGATGCCAACGATGATGATGACGTCAACGCTGAGGACGATGATGCCGACGATGTCAATGGTGATGGCATTGGTGATGCCATTGATGATGATGCCAACGATGATGATGTCAATGATGCCGATGATGATGCCAACGATGATGATGCCAACGATGACGATGCCAACGATGACGACGATGCCAACGATGATGTCGGCGGTGTCAGCGATGGCGGCGGCGGTGGCCGCGGGGCGGCCAGCAGCAGGAGCTGCCGCCGGATGTCCTCGGTGAGGCGCAGCTGGCGCAGCTGGCGCTGCTGCAGCACCCGCAGCTCCTCCAGCAGCAGCGCCAGCTGCAGCGGCGACGGCGCCGGCGCCGAGCCTGCGGGGACAGCGGGAGCGTGGGCACGCCGCGCGACGGGCGGAGGGAGAAACGGATGGGGAGAGGGATGGAGAGATGGATGGGCAGAGGGAGAGATGGATGGAGATGGAGGGAGAGATGGATGGAGATGGAGGCAGGGATGGGGAGAGGGAGAGAGGGAGGGATGGAGGGACGGATGGGGAGATGGAGAGAGGGATGGAGGAATGGGGAGAGGGATGCGACGGGCGGAGGGAGAAACGGATGGGGAGAGGGATGGAGAGATGGATGGGGAGAGGGAGAGATGGATGGAGATGGAGGGAGAGATGGATGGAGATGGAGGCAGGGATGGGGAGAGGGAGAGAGGGAGGGATGGAGGGACGGATGGGGAGATGGAGAGAGGGATGGAGGAATGGGGAGAGGGATGGGGGAGAAGGAGGGAGAAATGGATGGGGAGAGGGATGGAGAAATGGATGGGGAGAGGGAGAGATGGATGGAGATGGAGGGAGGGATGGGGAGAGGGATGGGAGGATGGAGATGGAGAGAGGGAGGGAGGGATGATAGGAAAGAGGGGTGGATGGGGAGAGGGATGGGGAGATGGAGAGGGATGGAGAGAGGGAGGAATGGAGGGAGGAAAGGATGGGGAGAGGGAGAGATGGATGGAGATGGACGGAGGGACGGGGAGAGGGACAGAGGGAGGGATGGAGGGATGGATGGGGAGAAGGAGGGAGGGATGGAGGAATGGGGAGAGGGATGGGGAGAAGGAGGGAGAAATGGATGGGGAGAGGGACGAAGGGAGGGATGGAGGGATGGGAAGAGGGATGGAGACAGGGAGAGATGGAGGGAGGGAGGGATGAGAGGGGTGGAGGGATGGGGAGAGGGATGTGAGGACAGAGGGATGGGGAGAGGGATGGGGAGAAGGAGGGAGGAATGGATGGATGGAGGGAGGGACAGAGGGAGGGATGGGTGCAGGGATGGAGAGGTGGGATGTTGGAGATGGAAGGAAGGAGGGATGGAGGGAGGGAGGGATGGAAGGAGGGATGGAGGGATGGACCTACAGGACCCTGGTGGAGATGGATGGAGGGACACGAGACGGAGACATGGAAGGACGGCTGGAGAGACCCGCACATGGAGGATGGACGGACGGAGGGAGGGAGGGAGGGACGGACGCGGAGGATCCCGGCGGGAGGGCCGCACGGGGAGGGGGGGACCCCGTGTCCGTCTGTCCGGCCGTACCTCCCAGCTCGGCCATGGCTCCGGTTCTGGCTCCGGTTCTGGCTCCGGCTCCGGTTCTGGTTCCGGCTCCGGGAGGAAGAGGAGGAGACGCGGGCGGATGACGTCACCAGGAGCAGTGTGGGGAGGGGGAAGGGGGGGGGTCCCCAAGCGATGACGTCATCATCGGGGGAGTGTCCCCAAGCGATGACGTCATCATGGCGGGGGGCAACAACATTTGAGGGGGGGGCAGTTATTAATGGGTGGGAAAGGGCCCAAACTGGCGATTTTTGTAAGGGGGGTGCTGCAAAAAAAGTCACAATCCCCCCAAAAAATCCTGCCCCCCCCAAATAAAAACCCCATTTTCCCCCCGATTTCCTCGTCCCGGGGCGGGGGCATCCACCGTTTTGGTCACACAAAAAAGACCCAAATCCACCCGCATTTTTGTGGGGTTTGGTTATTTTTTTTTCCCCCTTCTTTTGTGCCTGCTCAGGGTGGGCAAAAAAGCCTTTAACCCCTTGGCTTCTGGGCGGGAGGGTCATCAAAAAGCCCCAAATTTCCCCCCAAATCCCTCCCAAATCGGCAAAAATCACCCTGCAAAATGTTGCATTTTCGCTGATAAAGTGGAAATTAACTTTTTTTTCCTTCAAATTGCCTTTTTTCCCTTTCATTTTTTTTTTCTTTTCTCTCTCTCTCTCTTTTTTTTTTTTTTTTTTTTTTTTTTTTTTGGTCAACGCATTCAAAAATATATAATATGTAGAGGAATGTGCCAAAATGGGAGCATTTGGGTTTTCAGCCCCGAAACGGGGCCTCGGCAGCCTCCCGACCTCCGCGGCACCACAAAAGGCGCCCGGGCGCGGGGCGAATGCTGATGAGAAAAACACAAAAAGCAGGAAAATAAAGGGAAAAAAGGGAGGAAAAAGGAGCTTTTCAGCTGGAGGGTGAAACGAGGGTTGGCGGCGGCGCCGAGCTGGGAAAAATGGGGGGAAAAGTGACTTAAAAGGCTCCATTTCTTCTTTTTCCCCTCAATATGCAATGAGGAGTAAATGCGATAAAGAGAAATGATAACGATTCAAAAATGCGATTAAAATGCAAAAAATAAAAGGCAAATAAACATGCAAATAAGCAGGCAAATAAGAATGAAAAAAGGGGGGGCAAAATAAAGCATCAGAAAGAAAGGGGGAGAAATTGCCCTAAAAATGGGGGTTTAAAGGGGTTTTGGGGTGTTTTGTGACACTTTGCTCTGTCCGAACTGGAAAAATAAAGCAGTATTTTGGGGGAAAAAGGCACAGTTGAATGGTTCTTATTTTTTTGGAGACAGAAAAGGGCAAATATTGGGTTTTCTCCCCGCTTCTCTAATTTCCCCTTTTTGCCCCAATTATTCTCCTCCCTCCCCATTTCTGCCTCATTTTTGTCCGTTTCTTCCTATGTCCCCCATTTCTCCCCATTTCCCCCCATTTTTACCCCTTTTCCCACCTTTCTGCCCCCTTCTCCTCCATTTCCGTCCCATTTTGCTGCCTTTTCCCCCATTTTCCCCCACTTCTCCATTCCGCCCTCAATTCTTCCCCCTTTTCCCCATTTCTTCCAAATTCCCCCATTTCTCCCCCCCTTTCCCACTTTTCTGCTCCCCCTTTCCTCATTTCTCCCCCTTTCTGCCCCCTTTCCCCCGTTTTCCTCCATTTCTCCCTCTTCTTCCCCGCTTATGCCTCCTTTTCCCCATTTCTGCTCACTTTTCCCCCATTTCTGCTCTCTTTTTCCCTATTTCTTCCCCTTTCTGCACATTTTTGCCTATTTTTGCCCATTCCCCCCCCCCCCCCTTTTCTCTTCTTTCCCCGCGGTTGCTATGGGGGGGGCTCTGGGACGGTTGCTAAGGGAGGGAGCACTTCCGGCCCCTCCCTCCGCGCTCCTGCGCATGCGCAGAGGAGGGGGGAGAGCAGCCCTCTGGAGAGCCACGCCCCCTCCTGCTCCGTCCGACCAATCAGCGCCGAGCCGGCGGGCGTTGCTAGGCAGATTAGGAAGAGACGGAGAGCCAAGTGTCCTCCAGTATGGCCCAGTATGGCCCAGTATCCCCCAGAATGGCCCAATATCCCCCAGTACTGACCAGTATGGCCCAGTATCCCCCAGTATGGCCCAAAGTCCCTCAACTTGGCCTCACATGCCCCCCAGTATGGCCCACTATGGCCCAAAGCCCCTCCAGTTTGGCCCAGTGCTTCCCAGTATGGCCTAGTATGGCCCAGTGCCCCTCAACAATGGTATCAGATACCCCCCGTATGGCCCCATGCCCCTCAACTTGGTCTCAGATGCCCCCCAGTATGGACCGGTATGGACCAGTATCCCACAGTATGGACCAGTGCCCCCCAGCATGGACCAGTATGACCCAGTATCCCACAGTGTGGCCCAGTGCCCCCTAACATGGCCCATTATTGTTCAGTATCCCCCAGAATGGCTCAATATCCCCCAGTATGGCCCAAAGGCCCCCCAGTATGGTCCGGTGCCTCCCCGTATGGACCAGTATGGCCCAATATCTCCCAGTATGGCCCAATGCCCCTCAACTTGGTCTCAGGGACCTCCTGATATGGTCCAGTATGGCCCAGTATGGCCAAATGCCCCCCCAGTTTGGCCTAGTGCCTCCCAGTATGGCCTAGTATGGCCCAGTGCCCCTCACAATGGTATCAGGTACCCCCCAGTATGGTCCAGTATGGCCCAATAACCCCCAGTACGGCCCAGTGCCCCTCAACAGGGCATCAGGGACCTCCCAGTATGGCCCAGTAAGGCCCAGTACGGCCCAGTGCCCCTCATCGGAATACGCAGTATTTCCCAGTATGGCTCCCAGTACACAGAGCTATTAATAACCTATATACAATTTAACAACATATATCACATGTAGCACGTACATGCAATGCATGATCCTATAACCTGCCTCGAAATCCCATTTTTCTGCTTTTTTTACCCAAAACCCTCCTTGGCAGAACCAAGGCAGGTCTCACGGTAGCCCCCCCTACCCCATTGCCCAAAATCGCCCCGATTTCCCTCATTTGAGGCCCAGCAGATGTGAGTTTTGCTTTCGGCTCCAGCTGAGCGAAAAGGGGAAGCGCCGCCGTGAAAAAAAAATATGTTTTGGGGCAAAAAGCGGAAAAAAAAATAGATATTTATAGTTCTTTAAAGGGCCGCAAGCAAATTGGGGCACCAGGTGCTCGGTTCAATTTCAGCACCGATTTGGCGCCTGATAATGTGTTTTTTTCACTAAAATATAGAAATATCTGAGGAAAATAGCCCCCAAATGCAATATTTTCCCTTTGCAAAATGTAACATTTTGGTTTTGTGCTGTTTTATTTGCAAAATGCACCATTTTCTCTTTGCAATATTTTTAGTTTGCAATATTTTCCTTTTGCAAAATGCACCATTTTTGTGTTGCAATATTTTCTCTTTGCAATATTTTCATTTTGCAATGTTTTCCCTTTTGCAAAATGCACCATTTTCTTGTTGCACCATTTTCTCTTTACAATATTTCCACTTTGCAATATTTTCCCCTTGCAAAATGCACCATTTTATTTGTGCAATATTTTCTCTTGCAATATTTCCCTTTTGCTAAATTTTCCCTTTTGCAAAATGCACCGTTTTCTTTGTGCACCATTTTCTCCTTGCAAGATTTTCTATTTGCAACATTTTTATTTGACGAAAAGGTTGAATTCAGGCCATTTGGCCGTTCTTTAATGCTAAAATCTCTGTAGGGAAAAGCATGCAACAACCCCAGAATTTCCTATTTATTTTGCACTATTTTTTCCTATAAATCCTGGCATCATTTTGAGAAGAACTTTGATTTTGGGTGCAAAAAACCTGCAGTTTTAGGTCTTCACATTATTAATTATTATTATTATTGCTATTTAATGTTGCAAATGGACAGAAGGGTCTAAAATTAACAATTTCGGAACAGAAATGAGTCAGCCTGCAGAAAAAGGGGGATTTTCGACCACTCATATTTTCTTTGGAAAAAGTCTCATTTTGGGCTATATTACGGGAAAAAAGAGGCACTGCAGCCGTTTCCCGCAGCCGGCACCTGCAAATGGAGAAGGCAAAGGAAAATCACTGCAAAATAGAGAAAAATGTTAAAATTATTGAAAAGGGGTCCCCAAAGAGGGGATTTTGCTTTTATTGTGAATTTCTCTTATTTTTTTAATCTCATTTTATTATTCTATTCTATTCTATTCTATTCTATTCTATTCTATTCTATTCTATTCTATTCTATTCTATTCTTCATTTTATTTTGCTTTGCTTTATCATTTCATTTCATTTCATTATTTCATTTCATTTCATTTCATTTCATTTCATTTCATTTCATTTCTTCTTATTTCACTTCATTTCACTTCATTTCATCATTTCATTTCATTTCATTTCATTTCACTTCATTTCACTTCATTCCATTTTATTTCATCTCATTTTGCTTGATCTTACCTTAATTTCTCTTATTTTCGCAGATATTTTTCACAAATGGGCCAAAGCGGCGCCGTTTCCCGCCCCTTCGCGTTCCCAGAAAGCCCAAAATTTGAATTCAGGTGTCAGGAGGCAGAAACAACAACACAATTTTATTTTTGCACCCTGTTTCGGGGCTAAAAAAGTCTGTTTCGAGGTCCGGTTGATTGCACTCTATGTTTCTTGTTATTTTGGCAATTTTATTGCTATTTATTTACACTTATTCTGAGATTTATTCACAGCTCCATTGCAATCTCCCTTTAATCTCCCTTTAAATCTCCAATATATTGCAATCTTTTGGCAACTTTCTGGAAATTCATTTGCAACCAGATCGCAATTTATTTACCAATTCCTTCCAATTTATTTGACAATTCCTTGCAATTCATTTGCCAGTTCCTTGCAAATCATTCACCAATTCCTTGCATTTTATTTGCCAATTTCTTGCAATTTACTTGCCAATTCTTTGTAATTCATTTGCCAATTCCTTGCAAATCACTTACCAATTCCTTGCAATTTATTTGCCAATTCCTTGCAATTCATTTGCCAATTCCTTGAAAATCATTTACGAATTCCTTGCAATTTATTTGCCAATTCCTTGCAATTCATTTACCAATTCCTTGCAATTCATTTATCAATTTAACGCGATTTCTGTGAAACCCTATGGCCGTTTATCTGCCTTTTTTATTATTATTATTTTTGCAATAAAATATGTGGCTATTTCGCGGCTAGTTTGGAGGCGGAGCCGCCGCCGTTTTGGGGCCGAAACGCCGTTTCTCGCCCGTTTGAGCCAGCTGCCGCTTTCGGGCGCCCGTTTGCATAACGAGAGCCGAAACTGAGAGGACGAAAATAGGAAAAAAACATGAAAATTCCCATAAAAAAAAAATCCCCTCCTGGCACCTGCGCTTTGGGTGCAGATCTGCCGTTTGGAGGCCGAAAACGGAGGCCGGGCGGGAACCACCAATGGCCCATGGAGGGTCCCGAGGCTGAGGAGGCCACCAGGACATGGGGATGGGGTCGGGATGGGGGGAACATCCCCCAAAATGTCCCCAAAGTGGGAAGGAGAAGCCAAGGGCCTCCAAAAGGGACCTCCACCTCCCGTTTTGGGGCCTCGATGCCACCTCGGAGGTTCCCGGCCGTGACGTTGGCCAACGGGGGTCCCCAACGGCCGGAGGAGGCCGCGTCTCCTCACATCTCCATAGGGTTACAGTAGATAGGAAGATCCAGATAAGATCTTATCCAGAAGATCTGGATAAGAAGATCCAGAACCTCTGGATTCAGAACCTCTGGATAAGAAGATCTAGAACCTGTGGATCCGGAATTTATGGATAAGAAGATCCAGAACCTGTGGATCCAGAACCTGTGGTCATGAAAGTGCTGGTGCTGATGGTGGTGGAGCTGGTGGTGGAGAACCCCTGGCTCCACGGCATTGGTGGAGCTCTCTGCACCGCCTGCAGCAGCTCCCGGCCACCAGCACCCATGAGGGCTTCCCAGGGGGCTCTTGGCCACCAAGAGGGTTCCCACTGTCAGTTTGATCAGCAGCAGGACCCTTCACACGGTGAGCGTCAACCCAAGCACCAGCAGAACCACCATAAGCCTTGGCGCAGTAGTAGGTGGCCGTGTCCTCCACCTTGAGGCTGCTCATCTGCAGGTAGAGGCTGCTCTGCCCGTTGTCCCTCGAGATGGTGAATCGGCCCTGCACGGCGTCCGCGTAGCCGGTGCCACCACCGCTGTTGATACCCGCGACGTATTCGGGCTGTTTCCCGGGCGGCTGTCGGAACCAGTTCATGCCGACGCTGCTGAAGGTGAAGCCGGAGGCCTTGCAGGAGAGGCAGAGGCTCCCGCCGGGCGCCACGAGGCCGCCTCCGGCCTCCACCAGCTCCACGAGTCCCTTGGACCTTCATCTCCTGCAGGGGCTCCGGCTTCTCCTTCAGCAGCTCCTCCATGGGCCGGATCAGACAACCGCCCGGGAAGGGGCTCGAGTTGGTCGCGGGTGTTGAGGACGATGGTGGTGACACCAAGACCCTTGGGGTGGCCAAGACCGTTATGGGTTCAACCCATAGATGATGATGGTCTTGAGCTGCCTGAGGTGGTCAAGTGATGTTGACCAATGACCTCGGTTGGAGGCGGCTCTGCCCGCTGTCCCTGCACACGGCGACACGTTCCTGCACCGCCGACGCGTAGCCGGTGTCCCCAGCAGCGCTGTTGATGCCCTCAATGAACTGGAGCCTCTCGCTTGTTGTGAACTGAGCGCGGCCTCGGCCTCGTCCTCCTGGGCCTCCTGGCCGCCCTGCCAGGTAGGGCGCTCCGGGGGGACAAGGGGGACAACGGGGGGTCCCAGTGGGCGCCGCGCCGCTGACCCGGTGTCCTCTCGTTGTGCGCAGGGCTGCAGGCGGCCGTGGAGCTGGTGGAGGCCGGAGGCGGCCTCGTGGCGCCCGGCGGGAGCCTCCGCCTCTCCTGCAAGGCCTCCGGCTTCACCTTCAGCAGCTTCGGCATGGGCTGGTTCCGACAGCCGCCCGGGAAGCAGCCCGAATACGTTGCGAGTATTTACAACGATGGTCGTTACCCCAGCTACGCATCGGCGGTGCAGGGCCGATTCACCATCTCGAGGGACAACGGGCAGAGCAGCCTCTACCTGCAGATGAGCAGCCTCAAGCTGGAGGACACGGCCACCTACTACTGCGCCAAGGCTTATGGTGGTTCTGCTGGTGCTTGGGTTGACGCTCACCGTGTGAAGGGTCCTGCTGCTTATGAAATTGACGGCGGGAACCCTCTTGGTGGCCAAGAGCCCCCTGGGAAGCCCTCATGGGTGCTGGTGGCCGGGAGCTGCTGCAGGCGGTGCAGAGAGCTCCACCAATGCCGTGGAGCCAGGGGTTCTCCACCACCAGCTCCACC